TTCAGGGGGGCATGCCCCCCTGAATTTTATCCTAAATTGATGTTTTGCAGTTAGGTTGCATTCCTGCTCTTTGTGTAGCCTAATTCAAATAGTATTTGGTCTTCAAGACTTCTGGATTTCTTCTCTGGATGTAAACAGATGGATCGTGGACTTTAACGAACGGAACTACAAGATCACCCAAAAATCTTCACCTTTAGACTCTAGATCTAGAATCTAGATCTAGATCTAGATCTAGATCTATAATATAATACTGAAACAGAAAATCTTAAGGGAAATCAGAAATTAAATGAAAATGCCAAGCACAATAAATCTTGATCGTCACTGACTTGAAAACTCAGACCACAACAAGATAATGGATAAAACCCTTTGTCTTTGATTAAATTAGGCTAAATAATAAAAATGAAATATATTGTTCTATTCTATAAAATGCAGGCTTGGTTGGGATGAGTTCCGCAGAGGGCCGGCACTTACACTGACAAGGTAGATCTATTACATTACTTACATAGCACTTGGGTAACGTCTGGTACAGACACTAATCTTAATGTAGCCGACATCTTCAGCGTATAGAATAGGCAAAGAATCTGTTACATTTTATCCCAGATATTTCTAAAATTTCTTCTTCACTTGCTCTTTGTTGCTACAGGAGGCAGCCATATTGTTTATATCATGCAGTTTTTTTTGGAGTGAAATCAAGGGACGTGACTGCAAGTAACATTGATACCTCTAACTGGTACCTCAGCCTCAGCTATGCCAAGGCCAAGGAACACCTTAGGCCTGGACCTAATTCCGTCCGATAACGGGCCCAGTTATCTGTTTTGTGCCACGGGAGGGAAAAATCAGCATGTTTGAGTTTATTTTGACACTGTTTCAAGGGGAAGGGCTGTTGTTTACTCTCTTCTCATTCTTTTTTTCTGAGAAAACTGTGTAAAGGAAAGCTAATCAAGGGAAGTAAGCGGAAAATTATCGAATATCGGTAGGTTAAAACTTGAACCATTTGAGAATCACACTGAAATGAAAATTATCCCAAGTGATTGCAGAATTAGAAATCAGAATTTTCTTCACCGCGCAATCGCAAGACCCTCCTTGCCAAGGTAGATCTTTATCTTTCAGAACAAAAAAAAGGCCGTGGGACAATCTCGGTTGCTTTTCGTCACAAAACAGATGCGAAGTCTGGGCTTATTGTGATCATGATTTAGCTGTACAGTAGAGTGTGGTAAGAAATACTGGCTTTGTTTGTGAAGTATTAGAAATGATTCTGTCTAGATTCTAGATCTAGATTCTAGCTGGATCTAAACTTAGTCTAAAGCAGGCAAAGATCTAGATCTAGGTGATCTTGTAGTTCCGTTCGTTAAAGTCCACCACCCATTTGTTTACATCCAGAGAAGAAATCCAGAAGTCTTGATGACCAAATACTCTTTGAAATAGGCTGCACAAAGAGCAGGGATGCAACCTAACTTTAAAACATAACATTAGGAAAAAATTCAGGGGGGCATGCCCCCCGAACCCCCCCACCTCCACTATTTCTCAGAACGTTCGGGAAAATAAGGCAGTGGCTATTCTCATCTGGGGTGAGAATGAAATACGATCGACCTCTCACCCCGGGTGAGACTTGCGACCGTAGGCTATTCTCACCCGGTTTGAAACAAGACCTGTTTTGCCTAATTTCGGAATACTTTCTATCGATGTGGATGATCAAATTGATAAAAGCCAAGAAAAAATTACGTTATAAATAGCACAAAAGTAAGCTAATTTGATCGTCTTCAAAGATGCTATGGCTATTTCACTGTTCGAATCGAGCCGAACTACGCGGGTCGCCATTTTGTTTTGCCCGGAAGTTCTCGCAAGATCTTACTCCTCCCCTTTCTCTCTCTCTCTGTCTCTTTCTGAATACTGTCTATCGGTGTGGACGATCAAATTGACCAAAACAAAGTTAAAAAATTATGTTAAAACACAAAAGTCAATTAATTTGGTTGTCTACAAAGATGCTACGGCTATTTAACTTTTCGAATCGAGCCGAACTACGCGGGTCGCCATTTTGTTTTGACCGGAAGTTCTCGCGCTACTCCTCTCTCTTTCTCTCTCTCTCTCTCTCTCTCTCTCTCTCTCTCTCTCTCTCTCTCTCTCTCCACTGCCCACAGACAAAATTGTACGCTTTTAGTAGCCTAGGCTACAGTTGTAATGGAACGTTTGTTCACGACACAGAATTCTACAATTGTTCTGTTATCACAGTGTAGAATTTTGTGGTTTAGGGTGAACGCAAAATTTGTTGGCCTAGATATCTAGATCTAGGCTATAACGGTGAACGCGCACCGGGTGAGAATAGCCAAAAGACTCGCCTGCACTATTCTCACCCCGGGTGAGAATAGAGGTGGCCGGAAAATAAAGCTGGGCACTATTTCTCCGAACGTTCGGGAAAATAAAGCTAGGCTCTATTTCTCCGAACGTTCGGAAAATAAAGCTGGACACTATTTCTCCGAACACTCTGAAATCTCATCCTTTCCCGCAAATTTAGGATATTATATAGATCTATAATTATAGTTTAGGCCTACCAAAGATTGTTCGTATACAATATTATTCAATATATGGTTCAAGCGGTCCAAAAAATGTCCGCAGTAAATACATTGTATTTATATAAAGAAATGCTACAATTCCAAACAGTTTTTCGCTACAAATTTGACGTGTTGCCTATGAAGGGTGCTGCTCTTAAACGTAATGTGTTGTGTTCACTCGTGTGCTGTCTAGATCTAGATCTAGATCTACGGAGGGTTATTGATAAAGACACATAGAACTGGCATCTGCGTTTGTCACTGCTGCGACCAATGTACTGACACTGACAAGCCCCTTAATGTGTTTGATTCCATAATTTACATGTAATATCCTGTACTTAAAAAAAAAAAAATTACGCACATTTAGGGTTAAAACAGCCAATCTTTCTTCGGACAGGTGGACACACGCCCTTATTTGTTAATGTTTGTTGTTGTTTTTGGGCTGTTCTAATTTTGATTTCTTTCAGTTGTGAAACCTTTCTTTTTCACATTTTTACACTCATTTAAAAATGTCTAGACTAGCTCTTGAAAATTGAAATAGATATAGACCCAAAAATTTGCTCGTGTGTGTGTGTGTGTGCATGTATGTGCGTGTGTGGGTGTGTCTGTGTGTGGTACTAAGTGGAGAGTGAGGAGTGTGTGTGTGTGTTTGTTTTTCGGGCTTTATTTCAGCCTTTATTCAGTAACAGTTCAAAGTATAAAGAAATAGAAACACAGGATCCATTCACTCCAGGGCTCATGAGTCGTTCGTCTCTTTCAGTTTCACTCATTCATTCAATTCCCGTGTTCTCTCCCGCGGCTCATCCCTGTCCACATGACTTTCATACCTCACCCCCTCTCTCCAGGCACACACAAAGAAAATCTCACTCATTCCATTGCACCCTGCGAACCATGGACAATAATATAGGCAAAACACTGCCTGAGCTGCATTCCTTTCGTTCGCGAGCTGTGGACCAGGCCAGGGGGGTCGGTGTCATCGTCTTGTAGTTGCTGTCGCCTGTGGATACACTCGCACATTCTTCCTTTCACCCCCTCTTTCACTCACACTGTCTCTCCATCCACAGCTCAGCTCGTCACACGTTCAAAAGTTGCCCACTGGTCATGTTTAGTTAGTGTGTGTACATGTGCATGATGGTGGTGGGTGTGTGGTGGGTGTTACTGAAGGTTGTCTGTAGGCGGGCTTGCCATGCAGTGTTCCTTCCCAGACCAGAGAGAGGCAGAATGAAAGTTGGCGCCGAACTCTCGCAATAAATAGGCAAAAAATCACGAGACCGGAAGCAGGAAACCGTTCGGAAAAATAAAGATCGGCACTATTTCTCCGAACGTTCGGCAAGCTCCCCTGAAACCCCCCATCTCTTGACTTTATTCTTTAACGAACGAAACTACAAAATCGCCCGACAGATCTAGATCTAGACTCTATTGACTAGATCTACATGCTATGATGGTGATTTTAATTGTAGTTACGTTCCTTTAAGTCAAGAGTAGGGGGGTTTCACTAGTTTCAGGGGGCTTGCCCCCCTGACCAAATAAAAATAGAAGGGAGGGGGGGGGAGGGGTTGAATCTTACCATAATTTGATGTTTTGCAGTTAGGTTGCATCTCTGTTTTTTGTTGCCTATCGAAGTGACTATTCGGACTCAAGTCCGAATATATTTAAAAAATGTTATTCGGACTCTGATTCTTGTCCAGCATGACATCACTTCCGACTTCCTGTGACTCGTGACTCCGGCTTCCTGTCCTGCCTCACTCGTGACTCGCCTCAGGCTGGGTAGAGACTGGGATCACTTCGGGCAAAATGGCGTTTGTGCAGGAGCCGAGTTTTTATTTTTTATGATGAATTTGAGGCCAGCCTGAAAAGTTATAGCGCTTCTAATAATGTGTTTATTTGTCAAGATTGAGGTAATCAGAAGCAATTAAAGATGGCTCGTTAGCGTGTGTCGGGGTCGGAAGGGCGGCCTGCACGCGTGTGGCTTTGTGTCCGTATCGGGGAGGGGGGGCTCTATCGGTCCGGGCGTTGAACGTCGCATGCGCATCAGTCTTTTTTCCCCCAGCAACTGATCATTATTACAATAATAAACTAGAGTAATCGTACCGGGTCGGGCAGCACGTTTTTTTTTAGCTGTCGGGCACTGGAGTACAAAAAGATCGTTTAAAACTTTGTTTTTAAATCTAGCCTCAAAAGAGTGGCACACAAACCTAAAGCAACCTCCCCTACTTTCGTTGAAACAACAGATACGGCGATATTTTGCTAAAAATAGGGCGCTTTTTCGGTAGTTCCCACCCTGCAATTGTTATTCACGGGTTTTGGCCCCAAGAGTAGGGGGGATTTCTAACAAAATAGGAAGGGGGGTTTCAGGGGGGCATGCATTTTACCACAATTTAATGTTTTGCTGTTGTTAGGTTTGATATCTTAGCTCACCGCGAATCAAACGTATAGATCTAGATCTAGAAGTAGGTCAGGCTCAAATAAGGGGGTTGGGAACTACCGAATAACCACAAAAAATAGTCCTTAAGACAGCTTTTTCTTCATCAACTGAGCAAAACAGCGTGAAGCTCTTTCCACGGTAGAGTTAACATTATTTGTGGATGAAGGAGCCTGTGGCCTAGATTCTGAAAGCTGGAGAGTTATTTGCATATGAGGCCCCATCAAGGATGAAAGAGAATTTGCAGGTCAGCCTCGCCGTTTTTGCCCAAAGGGGGGTTGCCCGGATTGTAACATAAAATCCGTAGTTTCTCATCCTTCGGGCACATAAGGTAATATAGTGCCAATGGTTATATAATAAAGAATCAAGAATTTGTGCCTAATTTAAATAATAGTAGAGTTAGATACAGCATATATTAGCTCAGTCAGACACCAGGGTAGTAAAGTCAGATACCAGCGTGTAATACAGTCGAATATCAGAGTAGCAGAGTCAGATACCAGTGTAGTTGAGTGAGCCAGATGCCAGTGTAGTAGAGTCAGATACCACGTAGTAGAGTGGGTCAGATACATACTCATTAATATAGCTATAAATGGTGAAAACCACTTTAGACAAACTATCAATGTGTCCAAGTGTTGATAAGAAGCATTAAAAATCATGTTATTAAGCTTGCAAAGAAACAAATGTGATAATAATTGAAAATGACCGAATGTCAAAATACTGCCCGAATCCATGAGAAAACAAAAAAAATGTGTCCGAACTCGTAAATAAATCGGGCGTCACTTTTGCACCCAGTAAGGGCCTCAAACATGAGAACAAGCTGAAACAGGTCATTCCTGGGGTCATCCAATCTCAGGACTTCCTGTAGCTGGTTTCGGTTTGTCTCTAGGGCAAGGCAGATAGGAGATATAAAGCTTTAAAGTCGACGTGCCTGTTTTCGTCCTTATTTTGACCGAACCGGTAATTTTACTCTAGTCTTGACGTAGATCTACGTAATGAATTATGCGCTGGTCTATGGAATCAAAAGTTGCCGTATGCTCGGCTCTACACAGCAACACAACTTTTTCTTGGTGGTAAACAATCGAGATGACACAGGCTTGTCTATTTGAACGAATCTGTCTTTTTTTTTTATACAGCTCATAATATGAGAATGAATACAGGAACGCTGTGAATCTATTTACAAATTGGTGTGATAACCACTTCCTTTTATACTAAACGTAAAAAAGACAAAGGAATTAATAATAGACTTTAGAGTAAAAAAAGACCAATCAATTGCAACCACTATTTATTAAAGATGAAGAGGTGGAGGTGGTAAGCTCTTACGTATCTTGGTGTAACAATCGACCACAAACTTGACTGGCATCCCCACGCTGCTCTTGTGCATAAAAAAGTAAGAATGTTTCTCTTAAGGAAATTAAGAAGTTTCCGTGTTGACAATAAGATTATGTCCCTTTTTTACCATTCTATGATTGAAAGTGTGCTATTATTTTGTATTTTTGGGGGTGGGAATTGTAAGGTGAAAGATAAAGAAAAATTTGACAGAACCATTAAGAGAAAGCCAGCAAGATCTCTGGATATGATTTTATAAGAATGGATGAAATGTATAACACCACACAAGATAAAAAGCATTATAAACGACCCATCACACCCCTTTTCCACACAAATTGTAAGATCATGCAGCGGCAGATATCATGTACCTCCAAAAGCAAAGAAAGAAAGATATAAAAGAAGTTTTTTACCATCTAGCATTATTAATATTATATAAGGCTTTTGTCAGAATGAGCATAGATGTGTGTTGTTCTGAGAGTATGTATCTGTATATAGCTCCAAAGGTCTAGTATTTAAATTCCTGCATGTGGTTGAATGATGCATTTGATGTAAATGTACATTTTGCCAGCTATACTTCTCCTTTCATATTGAATTTTAATGAGAGTAATATATATGATTAAAATTTTTTGTGTGTATACCTGCATGTGTTTTTACGGTCCTGTACAGCCAAGGAAAATTTCCCTCTGGGATAATAAAGTACTATCTTATCTTATAATATACAAGTGCCAGGTGGTCTGTTAATCTTCAATTTTACCTTTTTTAACGACAAAGAAAGTGGGAAACGTGGGGGGGGGGGGGGGGGGGCGTATCAATGAGGTGGCGGGCATTGGATCGGCTGATAAGGTGTGGAGGAAACTAAAAGGTGGCGGAAAATTGGAAGCACTGAACGTTAGATATATAGAAGGAAGACACTTCCTTTTTTCCGGACCCGAGTCCGAATAACATTTTTTCATATTCGGACGAATTCGGACTCGAGTCGTTGCCTACTTGGTCATCAAGACTTCTGGATTTCTTCTCTGGATCCTGGACTTAAACGAATGGAACTAGATCTAGATCTAGATCTAGATTTAGAATCTACAAGATCACCGATGTCTAACTAAAAAGGATAAATATAACAAATCTAGAGTCTAGATTAAAGCTCTTGTTCAAGTGCAAACAATCAGCCTAAGACGATCCAAATTTCTTTTATTATTGTCTATTATAGTCTATTATAATAATAGACTAGCTGGGCCCCCTTTCGATGAAAGGAATGGTCAGTGCATTAACATCTACTGAATATCATTGGTCTACTATAATATTTACACTCTACTGGAATGGAGTAATGCATCTTGAGAGAAAAGTGGCACGTGTGTTTCCAAATTGCCAAATATATAAAGATGAATAGATTGATTCTGTATTCCGCTTTCGTGGTTGTACAGAAGCGTGTTGATTGTTCCCAGTAGCAAGAAAAAGAATTTGACAAAGGAGTTCAGAAAAAGTGATGATGGGCTACAAACGAAAGGATCACAGTCGAATTTAGCACCAAGTAAAAAAAGAAAACATGAGGCTAGATCTGAGTCGCACACTTAAAATAGTGCTCAGTATTGCGCGACAATGCGCAATAGTATCGAACGGAAAATAAACAAACCTGGCGGATTTTCTAAAATTACAGAGGCAGTAGCGTCGTCCCGCAAAAGCGATCGGCGAAATAAAGAAATTTAGCTTTTTGCAGCAAAACTGTCTCAAAACTGAAAAAACGAAGGGGGCCATGATCTGGAGAATATTTTAAAGAATCTTTTGACGAAAACCACATGTCGATCGATGCAGCCATTAAAAATCCTGTTGAATAGCAAAATTCGGCCACCACAAATAGATAATAGAATCTAGAATGTAGGTGGTTCGAACGTAACAGGCTGCAGCATCTGTAAGAGATGACCGCCTCCAGATGGCTCCGGACGGCTATTAGTAGGACTTGAGAGGAGTTCCGCCGTGGGCCACACTTACTGTGAAGTGTGACAAGGTTCACTGAGCAAACTACCTAACATCTGTGTTTGTTGCCATTTTTCTGTCCTGTTAGTTGGGTCCGTCTGTAAAAGTTTCAATCGCGCCTTCGTATCACTATTTATGACTTTGGTGTGTGAGTTCCGCATGTGTCGGGGACCGTCTGTAGACTGGGTCATGCATGCTGCTTAAAGTGTCTTTCGGAATCTATTGGTTGGGGGGGGTTAGACACACTTGGACTAGGAGTGCATGACGTGATACTTCAGGGTAAAAAAAAAAATAATGATAAAACAAACACACATACACACACACACACACACACAGAGGGCATATAGGCCTTATATATATATACATATATATATATATATATATTTCTGGTCACCCCAGGAAAATTTTTAAGTCAGCTTGGCAGTCATCTTGTTGATTTGCTGTTGATCCCGATTTTTTTCACCAGTTCCGATTTTTTCGCCTTGAGGTCCTGGCTTTGAGATTTCATAGAATGGCGGGTATAAGATAAGATAAGATACATCTTTATTGTCCAGATCCTGGCACATTGGTTTGGTGTTCCACCACGAGTACACACACACCCACGCACACACACACATACACACACACAAACACACACACGTACACACGTGCACACACATGCACACACAAGTAGGCTTACAATCGCATGCATAATATAAATGAGCAGCAATATAAACAATAATAATCGTAAGCTAGATACACACTCAATGTTATTTTGATGCATGCTCTAAGGTCGTTAGTATACTTATACAAGATGGTTAAGATGGAAGCTTTTTGATAGATGATGGTAAAAATGACCTTCTGTATCTTTCTTTGTTAGATCAGAAGCATGGGTCTTTTACTTCTGACTGATGTTTTTATTTGAGGGATGTTTGTTGTCTAAAAAGATGGAATTAATTTTCTTAATGCAAGCTGTTATGTACAATTCATCCAAGTAGGGGAATGAAGATGTTGAAATTTTACATGCTTTCCGTATTAGTCGATTTAATTTTTCTTTATCTTGTTGTCTTGTGTTCCCGGCCCATGCTGCTATACAAAAATTGATCATACTTTCTATGGTTGAATGGTAGAACATGGACAGCAATGTTTTATCAACTTTAAAATACTTTAGCTTCCTTAGAAAAAATAGTCTTATATATTTGACCGAATTTTGAAGAAAGTAAAACAGTTTTTAATCATCATTTTTACCTTCATTGGTAGCATCTTCACCATCTGTGGAGATTGCTTGATGTAAAAGGGAAACAGTATTCAGCTGTTTGAGCAATCTTGAGCAAGCTGTCTCTGCAGTTGGAACTATTTTATCAGGCCGGACACTTAATTGAGAATTACCCGTATTACCTGTTTTGGGCAACAACGTCATTGCACACCGGACAGGTCCATAAGTGCTCAGTTCCTCCCAGCACCAAAGCCCGCAAGGTATCCATACTGACTGTTCCAGTGGCTGTCTGGTAATTGCGACGTCTTTCCTTTCCAGGTAATCGTTCTTTTCTTCCTTCTCCCCTCTCTATCCCCATTTCCCGCATCCTGATGATTGCGTAACTGAGAATGGTTTTTTTGTATTACAAACTAAAACAAGGCTTTTTCTTTTTTCATTTTTTTTTTTTCAGAGAAACTTCTTGAGGAACAATGCCCTTCCCTGCAGGTAGTTTTGGAAAAGCTCACATCAGCACTTTTGCTGTGGGTATTCTGTTTGGCCTGTCGGTGTCGTATTTGATCAAATTTTCAGAGAAATCGATTTACTTTACACCTGCCAGTTTTATTCCTGACAGTCCTCACAGCCATGGGGAGAATGATGACCTCAAAGGCCCAGAAAACTTTGTCAGCTGGACAGATGCTCATTCTCACAGTCACACTCGTAAGTTATTCTGTTACTCTGCCTTGAATGGCTCCCTTACGGGGTCTCACAGTGTGTTACTGTGCTAATATATGATTCTTAAATTCTATCTCTTGTCTTTCTGATTATTATTGGGGCTTATTAAGTTGTCACAATTAGGGGGTTTTTGGTTGTTGTTGTTTCGCTTTGTTATTACCTCGTGGGTAGTTCTGGTGTGGTTTGCTCCTTCTTTCCTGTCAAACATCTATTCTCCTTATCTCTCTTCCTTCTTTTTTTTCCATGTTTGTTAGGCTCTTGTAACACCTTTAATATTCAGTACTTATATTGTGTGCCAAGTGCTGTAAAGATCTTACTAAAACTGAACTAAAAACACGTAACCTCTTGAAATGTATGAATTGTTTGTGCTTTTCCTTCAAAGTTGTTTCATTCACACATTGTATTTAAAGATTTTTCTGTTCCCTGCTGTTTTTCAGATGAGAACAACTCGGTGGCAAAGCAGCTTGAACGTCAAGTACGTGTGTTATGTTGGGTCATGACCAACCCAAAAAACCATCAGACCAAAGCTCGGCATGTTAAGGCTACATGGGGACAGCGGTGCAACGTTCTCCTATTTATGAGCTCCAAAAAAAATGGAGAACTTCCTGCTATTGCTTTAAAGGTTCAGGTGAGTATTTGTGGATCTTTTGCAGGTTTATTTTGTGTCTTAAAAAGTATGTCATTTGTTTTTCAATAATTATGTGTGCACCTAGAGAAAGGTACCAAAAGTCGTCCTAGACCGTTTCGAGCTACAGGCTGATAATGACAAAAAACACTTTTTTCATCAAAATGTGTTTCCATAAAAAATGATAGATCCAACATTTTTTTACAATGTGCTCAAAGGGTTTTCGTTAATTTGACTTCTAAATGTTTTATTTTGAATCATTTTGAGGGAAGGGTATAATAAAAACAAATAATAAAAACTGCTTTTAAAAGGTGTTAAAATCTATTGCTAAAGCATGTTTTCTCTTCCCTACTATGTTTTACCATTGGATTCCATTCATGATATCGATGTCAACTGAATTTCGAATTGGGCTGATAATGCCAAAAAACTATTTAAAAAAAACGATAGGTCCAACATTTTTTTTACAATGTGCTCAAAGGGTTTTTGTTAATTTGACTTCTAAATGTTTTATTTTGAATCATTTTGAGGGAAGGGTATAATGAAAACAAGTAATAAAAACTGCTTTTAAGAGGTGTTAAAATCTATTGTTAAAGCATGTTTTCTCTTCCCTGCTATGTTTTACCATTGGATTCCATTCATGTTATCGATGTCAACTGAATTTCAAATTGGAAATGCATTTTCCATTAATAAATACATGTAAAAAATCGTTTTTAAAAAGTTTGTATTTGTTCTCACGTTTGTTAAACTTAAAAGCTCATTTTCTCAAAATCATATCTTTATTCCCTACCTAGCAAAATGTGCAATATCTCAAAAACTACTTGAGACATCTAAAACAAATTTTAAAATCCTGTGTTCAGCATTGAATTTCCTATAAGGTACAACCCTTAACTCAAAATAGTCAAAATCCAACTTTTGGTACCTTTCTTTAGGCACACACACAATTTTCGTTATTGCTTTCTAAGCTGGATAGATCTTGTGACATGAAGGTGAGTTTTATCTGTTTGTCCTGACATTGTTACTGGAAATGATATGTGAATATTTGCCTACTCTTATGGGTTGATGATAGATACTCCTTCTTAAATGGCTCCTGCTACTGTTAGGATGTACTTGACCTGATTGAGTGGGGTGTTTTAAAGTCAAGACTCCATAAAAGTCTTCTCCAGTGTGTTGAAGATGGACAAAAGATATATTGTTTGCCAGTTTTTGAGTTGTACTAAGCCCAGAATGCAAAGTTTTCAAAGGAGAGAGAACAAAATCAAAATCTTTCATTAAAAAAAAATTGTACCTATACTTTGAAACCAGTACCAAAAGATAGGTAAAAGTTTTATCTATTGGTTGACGTATATAACCTCGTGAAGGAAATGTAAAGCTAGCGAGTGTTCTTGTTTTTTTCTGTAAAAATGTGGTTTGCTAGAGGGCAGATTGATACATACTTAAATCGGAGCAGCTGTTGAAAAAGTAGCCACTTGACGGAATGTTTTTGTAATTGCCTCAAAATATATCAAAAGTATAATTATTGTATAAATTGTGAGCTTAATTATACTTTGGACTTCCAGATTCTAAGAATTTTTTTAAAACCACATGTTCAGTTGTGCTGATAGTTGTAGGAATAAAAATATTGATAATGTGGATAATTGTGGGAAAGATAAAGTAGCCCTGATATTTTCTGTTGAAAGTGAAACCAATGACCAATACATATATGCAATCTGGTATTGACTGTGTGCTGTCTTCTTTTAGGAGGGTCGGAATCATTTGTGGGCCAAGACGAAAGAAGGATTCAAGTATGTGTACGAACACCACTTCAACGATGCTGATTGGTTCATGAAGCTGGACGATGACTCGTACATGATAGTTGAGAACCTGCGTTACTTCCTTAGGGACAAGAACCCTAATGAGCCTCTGTACTACGGCCGCAGGTTCAAAAAAATGGTTGAAAAGGGTTACATGAGTGGAGGTGCTGGATATGTCCTGAGCAAAGAGGCACTCCGTAGATTTGTGACTCGTGGTTTAGGGGAGGAACAGCATTGTCGGAAGGATGATGGCGGAGCTGAGGATGTTGAGGTGGGCAAATGTCTCAGCAAAGTCGGGGTGTATGCCCAGGACACACGAGATGAGCTGGGGAGGGAAAGGTTTCACCCCTTCATACCAGAGCACCACCTGATCCCTGACATCCTCCCCAAGACTATGTGGTATTGGTCTTACAATTACTACCCTACCAAACAGGTAAGTTCTTTTCGTAACTTCTCATTTTATCTTTACACTTGCAGATGTTTGGAGGAAGGCACTGGTAGGACTTTTTTCTTTCTTTCCTTCTGTTGCTTGTCTGTCACTTTGTGTTCACTAAATGACCATTATCGTACTGATGGTCAGCTTCTCTGTTCTCAAACTCAAAATCTCTACTGGTCCGAGGCATATTATTTATTTTGTATATTGTCTATCAAAAGGCACCCCTGGGGCTATGTTTTCATTTCTTCTGGGTTGCCTGCTTTTTTTTTTACTGTATCGTGGAATATCCTGGTCAGGGGAAGCCGACACTTGGGTTATCTTTTAGGAAGATTCACGCTGTATATATCTGTCCAACAGCGGGATTACAGCAAGGCTGGAGAGATGTGAGTCTTAATTATTGTGAAATCAGTAGTGATGGGAATCTCTTTTGATGGAGTAAAATGTTTCTTCTTTAATTTCTTTGCAAACAATCAAAATGGGGCATTTATCGCGTCACCGAATGACTGGTTCAACTTTTAAAGTTTAAATAATTTGTCTGTGAAGATATTTTTACAATGTTGAAATAATTTTCTCTGCAGTTCTTCCAATCTTCCGTATTTTTACTGAAATTTGTACTTTCTGACAGTTCCGTACTTGCTCCCCCATTATTATCAACTCCATCCGTAAAAAAATGCAATAGCATAGAGCTATAGAAATTCCTGGGCAAAGGATCTGTACTCGCCATTGTATCCTCATGTATAAGTTGCAGATATTTACGGTAATTCTGTCTTCAATAGGTTAATGTTATAGGAACCTGCCAGACCCGGGAGTATGAGGAAATCTGTAAACTGCCCCGAGAAAGACTCTCGAATATTAAAAAACCAAATCGGATGAGTCAGTAAATTCATTTTTGCCGGTCTTGATATTGATGTTCGTTCGGCTTTTCTCAGTCCGAGAATGCGTTTCACGCGAACAGGCAGCTATGGCGGCAGGCGGTAGTGTATGTGACACTGAGGCTCGATCGGGAAAATCAAGATCTACTTTTGTTTTCATTACCGCCGAGAAATTTGCTGGGTGATAGTCTGATACAACAACATTTGTGACTTGCAGGTTATGCATTATAAATGCTGTGTCGCCAGGTAAATAAATCAATATTTATGTCTGTGTTGTCTCTTGTAAAAAAAAAAAAAAGAGAGAAGAAAAGAAAATATAAACGTCATCCGATTTTCAGCTTGTTGGGCGCTCATCATCTTGACCGGTCAGTGAACCTGTGCGCGTTCTCATAACATGCTACAGCATGGTGTGAGTGTGAGTATTAGCGGTTGTTGGAGTCGCCAAAGCTCATTCAAAGTCTGAGCGCTGCGAAATATGACATCGGAATAGTTGAATTATTGTTTTATATTTTAATTATACACTCAGGGGTGCTGAAGGCAACTTGATAACAGGTTTTAGAATTTTGATTGGAGCTCTCTGCAAAGCGGGCTTTGGTGCAGGCCTTTGTAGAATCGGGATCCCCAAAAACCTTGTAAGCCATGTTATTGAACTAAAGTGTTTGCGTTTCATTGGATGAGGGATAGTGATAGTAAATTATTGCTGTATTTCAGCTTTCTGTTCAAGATTGACTGATTTTCAGTGTCACTGCATCTTCCTTTCCCTCAGTTCTTACCTCTCACACGGATAGGTTTACTTGAGCCATTCAAGTTATTACTCTACTTTGAGTTTGAGCAATAATCTTGATGACAAAAAATAGGTGTTATGGGTTGTTGGTATTCTCTTGAAACAGGCTCCCAAAAGCCATTTTTAACCCTCTAAAAGCTCTAAATTTCAATTTCTTCGGGGGGCTATGCCCCCTGAACCTGACACCGGGACGCTGTCCCTGGAACCTGCTGGGGGCCACAGAGGCCCCTAGACCCCCCGCCAGAATTTTCCTTACTTTTTATCTTCAGCTGTTGAAGCTCTGTATCAGGGATGCCAAGATTTTAATGGTTATTTTTAACTAAAATTTTTGTTACCGACACCTCTGGTGTAGTGGTAAGGCACTTCGTCATTGCGTGCAGGAGACCCAAGTCCAGTTTCTGTGTGGGTAGAATTTTTATCGAGTATGTTAGTCTTTTTTTGAGACATTATAATCCTCTTAACCGGAGTTGGCCATGCAAGGCAGAGCCGAACCTCGCCTCCTAGATAATCTAAATTGTGTCAATGGGGGCGTAAAAACACCTACATTTTAAAAATCCCAAAATATTTAGCTTCATTCTGACTTGCACCTCGTGAAAAGTATTTTTAACAACAGAGCCAAACAGAAAGAGGATATGCCTGTTCATGAATATAATTTTTTTATTAAAAAAATGAGCCATGTGCTATCAAAGGGTGATGTTCTTGGCGGGACTAAAGAGCTTGGCTATGTCATAGGGAAATAGAAATACTGATACGTAGTCCGCTAGTGCAGTCTCTCTTGTTCTCTTTAGTCCCAAGGTGGACTGCCAACCCACTTATCTTCATAACTGGTCACAATTGTAGTGATATTGAAGTTAGTCTCTTTGCTGAAATGACGTAAAACAAACTCATTTCATTTATTGTCAGAACTGGTTGCTTGTAATAGGGCAATGTATAGTCTCTACGTGGCTGCTGTTGTACTGATTTACTGTAAATTACAGTTCAACTGTCTTTACATTCTACACTTCTCTGAGGGTTTTTTTTGGGGTTTTTTTGGTCTTGAAGTTCAATTTCTTTTTGAGCTGCAGTTGGTTAATGGATGTTCTGATGTTGTCTCGTCCATCCACTTTTTTGGTCTATTTTATTGTTCTTTTCTGTTTCCTGTTGAAATGTGATGCTTAATGTACCAACTCGACATTGGCCTTTCCTGCAACTCCTTCTGATTTCTCGTCATTTTTTACCAGGGCCAAGAGTGCTGTAGCGACTATGCCATCACCTTCCACTATGTGCCTCCCAACATGATGTATGTTTTAGAATATCTCATATATCACCTGAAGCCCTATGGGATCAACACTATTCAAGTAGTCGAGTCGGACAAGAAATCTGAGAATAATGAATCCATGGTCAGCTCAACAAAACCTCCTGAGTCTGTTGTACAAGATGCTGGCTTTGAGAAGCAGGATTCCAGGAAGGCTGTGATGGAAGCAGAAAAGAAGTCAAATTTGTTGGATAAGCTGAGGTCTGAAAATGAGAGTTCTTTAGTGACCAAAAGTAAAAGACTAGACCAAGACAATGTGGTACATGAGAAAGATTTAGAGCAGGATAACATGGTTGAAGAGATAAATAGTTGAAATCTGTTGAAGTTGGTGTAGGTCTTTACAAAAGCGTTATGCTTGTGATTTGTTATTTGCTTATATAATGGTATTATTGATTCCCCACCTCCTTATTATTGACATCCCTCCTTTACCTTCCCAGTTTAACCTGACAAACACCGTAAACTGCATTCAACTCCTTCACTTCTGTAAGGATTTTTGTGAGGGGCTAATGGGGAAGTCTTACATCAGAGGGACCGAAATTGTATTCGTAGATATGTGCCATATTTATAATGTTCTGTCTACGTGTTGATGGTGGATTGCTAATGTCAATTAATCTTTTTCAAATATTGTCCAGAGCTTTCTAGCAACTTTTTAAATAATTTGTAATTGTCTTATTTTGGTCTTCATTTTATTTTACATCCCTACTTTAAAATTTATGTTTAGTTACAGGCTGACAAGAGAGAGACAAAATAAGCATTATTTATTAGCTTAGCTGGCTTAGAAATTTAAGTATATATATGAATATGTGTAATGCTAGTATTGACTGTGCTTTCAATCTTTTTTTTAAAATATTGAAAACGTGGTTAACCATGCTGCAAATTCTTGAAACTGGACTGTCGGCAACTTTCATACTATGGAAGAATGCTCCAAAAGCTTGCATTCATCCCCTAGAAAATGGAGGCATACATCTGTTCATCAAAATGACTGCAGTCTCAGTAAGACACCTTTGCAGTGCTGGAGTTTTTTATTGTCAAGGTCCCACCCTAAAGTAAATTCCAGTAAACCAGAAACATCCCTCTATGCATATCAACAATAAAGAGGCAAACACACTGGTGTTAATGGTAATTGTATAAAGGTTGTGGTATTTTAAAGATAGCTTTGGATTTCCCCAATTAACATTGTCAGTAATTTGTTATCAACAGTGTAAGAGGAAGCTGCCTGTTAAAACATGGGTTTCTGTGAAGATTTTGAAGAATTACATCACCACCATGAAAAGGAATATTGGCACTGGCATATGCTTTTGTTCTATGATATACCTGGGTGGAATATACACAAATTCAACATTCAGCCGTTTGTTTGTTTTGTATACACTTATTCATATTTTGTATTGTTTTCTATTAATTGTGATTTCAAAATGGTGTAGGTGGACTGAACAGTTAAGCTAGATAATATGATGATGGACTCTTTCCGAGATCGCCCGGTGTATGAACAATGAGACCAGTATAAAGATACGTTGTATTTATACTCATGTTTTACAACATTCAGGTTCTAAATCGGTGTCACAGTACTCAAGGCCTTTTTTTTGGGTTGGTTTTCTTGTTTTTCAAATTTTATTTTAGATTGGTCACAACAATAATTTACTTTGATATATAATGTGTTTACTCCCTTCATCTTTAACTATTGTCTTGAAGATTCCTTTTCCCAAAATTATTTCGTTTAATCTCCTACTGTCGAGGATTCAGAAAGAGAGAAAAATGACCTTTAACAGGCATGGAGATGCTTTTGTAACCATTATATTGAATAAATACAATGTTTTGCTTTGGATGAATGATTTTATTGCATATTTCAAAATTAATTGATTTGCCTTTGTAACATTATTCATAAGCTTTCAAGGGAAAAAATTGTTGTATACTCAGAATAGTCTTAATCAAACAGTTTTATATTGCTTTTTAAAATGTTTATGTGTTGTTATAACACTTTGTGTTTATTGGTCAACCCTTTTATTATGTTTGGTTTAGATCGCATTTTTTTTTGGTTATGTTCCTTATGTATGTTATATTGGCTGCTATTTTGTTTGTACCTTCTCCACATTTGATTTTAAAGGATGCATTAACTGTTTGGTCTTTTGTCTTTACACAATGGCTTCCAGCTATTTTCATTGAAATATTTTACTTTTTGTGTATTATCGATTTTGAATTTTGTTTCCTCCCTTCATTGAGGATGGATAGTGGAGGTGAAGATCCAATGGCTCGTGTTGACTCTTCACCTATATCGTTCAAGCACAGTACTTTTAAGGTCCTAATAACAAAACAACAAGACTGTACCTGGGTCACAAAATAGTCTGACTGAGAGCTACTGTGATGAAAATGTGTGTTGTTTATCATACTTTGTTACACTGATCTCCTCGGAGAATAATGATTAAGCTATTGAATGACATCAGGTTTCTGAAGACTATACTGTTTGCTCATGTTGTGATTGATCTCAGTGTGTTTGCCTCTCCTGACCCCACTCTGCTGAGGATTATAGAGGGTGACACTGACAGGTTTTTTAAAACGGTTTCTTTGTTGTTTCTGTTTGTCTGCCTTGCTCTTTCCGAACACTACATGACCGCTATTGTGTAAATGTACGTTTCTTTAAAAGAACTGAATCACCACTTTGTGTCTGTTCTGCCTGTCTTGATCTTCACGCTGTTTCATCTTTTATATGTGTGTGTGTGTATTTTGTTGTTGTTGTTTGTGTGTGGGTTGGGGGGGTTGTATGTGTGTGTATTGGTTCCTGTGACTTGCGGTTTATTGGCTGTGCTTTAAAAAAATTTTGACTTTCCCTCCTCCAGTCCCATTTCTACAAATCTGTTATTATAATGATGTCTAATTGTGGGTAGATGTCTCCTGTATTTTTTTCTTATTCCTTGTTTTCCTACTTTTTTCAATTTGTAATTTTTCATGTGTCCCAAATATAATCATGGAATTACACTTCCTTGTACTCGCCCATCTGTCATTTTTGTCTAATAATCTTGCTCTTACCTAGCACTGAATGACTGTTATTGTGACAATGTGTCTCTTTTTTACTCAAATTAATCTTTTCTCAAACCAGATGATATAAAAAAAGTGCTTTTATAAATAACCCATGAAGAAATTACATTAGTACTTTTGCTGTTTCATCTTCTGGCCTTTGTCATTCTATTTTATCAGTGATACATCTCTTCCGAAAATCTGTGAACCTACATAAGACATTGAAAAGTTTATCTGTAAGCTTTTGGTGTAGGTTTCTATCCTTTTCTATTCGTGATAGAAACTTGTTATCTCTTGTGATAGTTGTCAAGTCTGCAGTTACGTTTGTTTTTTTTTAACCTTTTCTCACCAAAGGTCATTCAGAGGGTGCCATTGGTTGATTTTGCTTTATGTCCCAACTCTTTAATTTTTGTTATTTTTTTACCGGGCTTTTCCCCATTTTTCTTCTGTAACCGTTCCGGTGTGAATATGCTTCTCATCTTCTCGGGCTTCGCTTCTTGCTTCATCTTAATGAATATTGAGCTTGAAGCTGTTTCTGCTGTCATTTTCAAATCTTTCAAAATCCCTTCTCGAATTTTTTTTTGGATACTGTTTTGGTGATTACTGGATCATCTAAATTGGATGTGATCAGGAACACAGTAACTGCATGGCAAGGTTTACCGTTGCAGACCCATTGTTACTGTGTTCATTTAGCAATTCAATAACCCCCCGGGGCAGTGCCACTGACTGAAGTGTCTTTAGGCCATTCCCAAAGGGGGGACATTTCTCGTTCAAGCATAGTAGAATTGTAAATGGTCTGACTCATTTCACGCTCATAACTGTGCCTGATCTACAACAGGGAACTGCTGCTTTTTCTTTCCTGATCCTTGCTATTGTCATTTTCTTCTACTTCTTTTGTATGTTTGTCACTCTCTTGTGACCTGCTATTTTGGGGTGCCTTGATAGTCGAAGCAGACCTTGTGCTGTTGAAGATAGAGAGGTGAGCAGTCTAAGTCTGATTCCCTGTAAAGACTTCTCTGTTGACACCCACCCCTTGGCGCTCATATGACCTTATGCAGTTGCGAGCGCCGAAAACCCTCTACTATTTTTTTTTTTAAAAAGCAATGCAATTATCGGGTTTATGCTTTCACCCTTAGAATATACAGAACCATAAGACTACTGAGTTATTTAACTGTTTATCTCAGGCAAGTCGCTCCCAGCGGCTCGCAGTCGGAACCGCCGTGCCGGGGAGCTGCTGACAGCAGCTCGAGCACATTCCTTTACGACGACTTCGACATCAAATTACTTTTCGGCAATTGCCGAAAACTGGTCCCTTTTTTTACCGGAAGTTCATTCATTAGATGAAGAACTATCCAAATAGGTTTGTTAGTTTCGATTTGATGACCCATTTAATGATGTTTTTGTCATTTTTAGATTTAGCACCAAAAACGGGCCCTGACATAGTGGGTTTATCCCCCTCGAAAATTGTTCACATGTATTTATGGGTGTTTATGTACATGTGTATGCATCTTTTTCAGTAGTAAAGTAGTTCAATTGTTGTGATTGTTGTATGTCCCCTGATTTAAAAATTGGTTAAGTTTGGGGTGGGTTTTTTGCGGTGGGGGGTGTCCAATCTGTTGACATTACAGCTGGATATAAGTGACTTGGGTAAATGATTTTAAAATTATGAAAAAATAATTGGTATGACAAGTAATTTGTCAGTGACATTCCACAATCGCCTAAGTCATTAAAATTTTAGAAAAGAAAATTTAATCAAAAGAGAGGGCCCAAATCAGCACCATAACGTGTGCATTTATTATTTTTCAGTTAAATACTTCGGAGGAAATAACGAAATACATGTAAAATGAAACTGTTCTGTAAGATGCCCCTCGATATCTTTAAAAAAAATTACAGCTTTATTTAGAAACCTCTAGAAATTGTCTTTGGCAACTGTTGAATGATACTGAAGAATTGCTCATTAAACAGTATTGTAATTGTTTTAGATATCTGAGACATGTCAAAAATTGTTTGTACAAAGTTTCATAGGATTTTCTTTGTGTCTGCATTAAGTACAGTGTGGTTTTTGAAGATTTTGCTACAAAGATCTTTGATTGTGTTTGTAATCCTAAGGTCAAAATCTTGATAGCAGAACATTTTCTTCTCTCAGAGCACCATGTCAAAAGCACATTTATTGGCTTAAGCTTATACATAAATTCTTCTACGTAAATTCTTTTTTTTTTTTTTTTAAACACTGTATTTAGCGCGTTCTGAGAGGGGGTTCGGTGTGAGAAGAATCTCATTTTATGAAACAGCTGCATAGCCATGGAACTGCTGGGTACATCTGGCTCTGCCTTTTTAAAAAATTGTTCTCCTTTGGAAGTAGAAATATCTTTTAGTGTATCTGACTTGCTGATATGACAGATATACCAGCTATTTTTCACAATTCTTTTGTCAAACGCTTCTCTTATACTTATAATAATTTTTCCGAAGCTAAAAATGTGTTTATTTTCAAAGTATTAAACTGTTTCTTGTATGCAAGATTGTGTGTACAGAGTTGAAGTCTGTTTGTAAAATTATGATATTCCCTATAACATTCAGTATTTAAAAACAGCCCTGATAAACTGTTAACTTCTTTTAAAATTTCAGTATTTTATGCAAACCTCATGTATATGCATTTTGAAGAGTATAACTTCAGAATCAGTCACAGTGACACCATATCTCTATTTGCAGACAACATTGTTTGAATTGTTTCATTGAAATTGAGATTTGATGTTTGTAAATGTGTGTGTGTGTGTGCGTGTGTGTGTGTGAAAAGGGGGGGTATATAAAAGTATTCCCTAAGATATTGTGGAGGTTACGTTTCACACCCTCCCGCTTATGGGTAAATTTCGTGAAGTACAATCAAAAACATTTAAATATGTTCTTTCAAAATGTTACCCCTAATTGAAATTTCGTGTTGGTACCCGCCAGCAGAGACGCTTAAACTTGGATGATGACAATGAATCGGCTGGTCTGTATTAAATGATAACGGTGCAATGTACTGATTTCACGATGTGGCGAGGGATTACTGTGTTTATATATATATTTATCTGTGTTTGTGTGTGCGTGTGTCTGTAAATGTAGATATAAGTATCACTTTAAACTTTAAAAAGAAAACTGTGAAATGAAATGTCTTGTTAAAGTACAGGTCCCATTGTTGCCTTTCTTGAAAGAAGTATGAGCATATTTTCACAAAAATTTGTACTTAAAAGATTACAATTTGCTTATCTGCACTTTCAATGTAAATGACAGTGTCACAGTTTTTGTTCACCTTTTTATGACTTGAAACGGTAACCTGTAAGTCTACACATGTTTGCGGAGTTTAACGGGATTTAAATTTAATAGGAGCAGTTTGTACAAATGCTGGTACGTGAAATTCAATTGCACCACTCTGTTGGAATAGGAGCAGTTAATACACATATACTTCTATGTAGAATTCATTTGCTAGTTAAAGTACTTGCTTGGCTAGGAGCAATGTTTCCAGCTCAGATGTATTTGGTAATCTGTTGCCCTTTAAGTATGGTGCATTCCATTGCATGAAGTATTATTTCTGATGAAGTGGCATTCACAACTGTTTTTGGCTGCTAAATATTTCAGAATCTGTCAAAATACATACTGTCATATTCAAATTTTGAGAACAGGATTTTCATGTATGTTTGTATCTTTTATAAAGGTATTTTAGAAAAGCACCTGTACAAAAGCACTTTTTAATGCCAAAGTTTTACTGCCGACCTTATCCAGGGGCCATTTCGTTGTTAGTAATAGTTTCCATGATATTGTTGAGAGTTGATATTAAATGTACAAAACACCTAACTTCTTGTCTCAGGGTGCTATGAAGATGTTCATTCACTCCCAGTGTCTTATATTTTGAGTACAATCTAGCTTGTTTATGTAAGGCATTTAAAGTTGAGCTGGGCTGGGCTATGGAATATTTATATTAATGACTGCCGTATTTTGCCTGGTCAGTTATGTAACTGCAAAAACTTTAAAATTTAAGGCCTGTCATTCTGAAACTGAATTTTCTCCTTTAGTAGTTTATGAAAGAAAAGATTCCTTTATAGAAATTACCATAAATCAGTTTGGAATTTTAAATTAAAAAGCCTGGATTCGATATAACTGTGTGTATGTGTATATATTGTTGTTATTGTCCAAAACAAACTCCATTTAGTGATTCAGGTCTTATTGTTGAGTCTTATCTCTTTATGAATCAGAATATAAGTTTGTCTGAATAAGTGAACTTAAAGAGTCTTAAAATTTCTCTGCTGTTGATTAAGTCTTGTAAAGTTTTTTAAAAAATATAATTTTAGAGATGCCAAATTTTTGCCACAATCTGTTCATTGAGAGGGATCATTTTTACCTCAATAAGTAGCTTTGGATCTCGTTGAAGTGACCACAGCCATGTATCCGTTTGGAGTGACCATTTCATCAGCATTTGAGACTGAAGGGTGTTGTACGTGTGCTGGCTCTGTTATCTTATAGCAGGCACAAATTTTAGAGTATTTCAGTTAAACCTGGTTAATGTTTTAATCATTCTCTGTACCATACATTTTTCTCTATATCTGCTGTCTGTGACAGCTTTAGAATAGTGAGAAGTGGTGTGTCTGAGTTTGGTATCTTTCTGCTAGTTTTATAGTCACTATGTATAGCATCACCAAGCTGTTAAAATGTACTTATCCAAGAAAGCAACATTTTTCTGGAAAGAGAGAAAATTATCTTAGTT